AAATAACCAAAAAAATAGGACAAAATTGGCTATAAAAATACTGTGACATTTTTGACCAAATATTCGATTAAAAAAAAACTCTATGAATCTTATGATTGATCTAAGTCTTCTTCAGCACACCACATACCTTTCTATTTGTGATTTGCACTGTTACTGCTTTTCAGGTTGCTCAAAGTAGGTTTCCTTTTAATATCTGTAAACCTATCACAGAAAGAAATTCTCTCTGGCTTCAGCCTCAAGGCAGTGATTTGTGCACTGATAGGTGTACTTTGTTTAGTGTCACCCACGGTGTAGATTGGATAGATTTTGTAAAAGATAGCATTACTTTAAAAGAAACATACAATTTGACAAGCGATTGCATTTTACTTTCATTTTATTGCCATATTTTTCATCACACTCATTGTTTTCTAACTGTCACTAAATTGTTCATTTTCTTAGTCTGTTACATCGGTAGAGCTATTTACTGTTTATAAAGCAATATGCACTTACAGGTTTGGGAGATGGTTTGGGCTCTGAGGGTCGCATGTGCAAGTGGGTCATCATTGCTTGAAGACGTTCGCGTTCTTTAGAAAGCTGTTAAGAAAGAGTGAGATCAGAAGCATTTTAGAAATGACTGATACAGCTATTTTACTGCAGTGATTCATCTTATCATTGAGCTTGTCTCAGAGTAATGATTCCTGCATATAAAAGTCTGTGTCAGTAGGAACTTATCTGGGAGGAAATGCAACTTTAGCTATGGAAGGGGGAAAAACTTTTATAGCTTTCCTTATGTTAAAAGGTCAGAGAAAACAAATAACACTTCATCTTTTTGTCAATAAGAGAATTGAGGTCACAGTTGCCTCGACAGTAACAAGTTACTGAAACCATAAATTAGAAGGCCCATGGTGTCTCTTTAAAGTCCTGTGGACACTGTTAGCAATGGACTAGTGCCAACAGCTGTGAAGGGGTGAAGGGTTCTCAAAGCGAAGTGCCTGCCAGGATTGTCTACACACTTCATGCATTCCCACTGAGGTCCAGTTAGTGCCCCCTGCAATCTGCCATCATCAATCTAATTCAATAGAGTGACAGAGACCAGGCAGTGTGAAACGCTGAACTCTGCCACAGAGTCGGCATCTACACTTGCACTGGGTCTCATTACAACTGACGGACCTTACTTTTCCATCAGTCAGGCACAGCAAAAAAAAAAAAAAAAAAAAAAAAGGCATAATTGGTCACACTGCAGACAGTATCATCAGCTGAACTCTTATGTTTTAGTCTACCTTTTATAAATGGTAAACATGTTTGCAAAAAGCTTTTAAACTACAACAGCAATGATGCTTTTGATATGTTCTTGATTATTTTACGAGTCAAAATAAAATATTGTTAGTAGCTGTCTGAAAAAAAGCAATGACATGATGAATTTAAAACAACTTAACACATAGTAAAGTAAAAAAAGAAATTGTGTCTTTAATTAAATGAAACAAAGTACTGGTTTAATTGAGAAAAGACAATCTTTCAGATGAGATATTAGAGGAAGCCTTAAAAGGTTAGTAAAACCATAACAAGAGTCAGACTTCAAGTAATAAAATAGCTTTCTAATCAGTTTTATGAAACCTATTTATTTTTGGCCAAATTCTATATCAACTTTAACACAACTGTTTTTTTAAAACTTAAACAGTAGCATTTGATACAACACATATGTCACTACCTGTGATATAAATTATTTGCTATTACTCTAGTTAAAGATATGTATTAAGAATTTTCACAAGTTCTTTAATTAAAAATATACTAGAACCAGAAAAGAAAAAGTTATTTTTCATGGTGTTATATTATAGGCATGATATTGTAAAGGTTGGCCTATTGCTATAATATAAAAATCACATGGAAAAAATCAAAATTAGCTCGTGTGAAAACTGTCTCTGTAATAAAATCATATCTAGTCGGGAGTTTGTTTTAACCTATTTTGGCAAAAAACTTAAATTTGAGAGTTTGGGGATATCTGAATGTATATGATGTAGTCTAAAGGTTATATAAGTTTAAGTGATACGTACATTAACCTACAGCAATCCATCCTGCGTTATCCATCATTGCCACTGTTAAAAACAATCTAAATTCTATGTATCTCTATTAATCATTGTGTTACTGAGACAATAAGATGTAGCTTAAAAGATCTAGAATCTGCTCAGTACTCAATTTAACACATCAGAAATCCGAGAAGAGTCCATTAAGTAAGCATTTGACAAACCTGTATTTCTAACTGTTGCACCACCTGCATCTGCACTCGACACTGGGCAGTGCTTCGGTCATCCAATGCATGTTCATTGTTAAGGTGCCTAAACAAACACAAAACAAAAAGAAATGTTAAGTAATGTCTATCTCAGTGGTACATGTAAAAAGCACTACACTGAGGTTGTATGTTTCTCTGCAGTGGGAAAATAGAATGCCTTGAAACCAGGAAAAAGCTAAATATGTTTATATCCATAAAAAAGTTAAATATGCTTATGTTTTTAGTGAAAAGTATTTACGTAATATAAACAGACTCTTCAAATGGCATACAATGTAACTGTCTCTAAGCTTATCTGTTATTACACAAAATATATCCCAGACCATTTAAAGAGTTTTAGCAGAAATCATATTCTTATGCCTTTAAAAAAAAGTACTTGACAAATATATGAACCAAAAGTAATTCTGAAGAGAACAAAGGTGATTTTCTATTTCATTTCTACTAAAAACAGTTGCTGTTCCTGTGATGTATTTTAGTGAGCAATGTCTTATTTTACAGGAATGTGGTGTGAATTAGGTGAAGATGACAAATCCCATGGAAAAATCAATATTTAGGAAGAATGATGATTTGCTGTTACTAATAAATAAATTGCATTGAAGTTTCTGATAATCAGAATCATAAGATTGACATTTTGTATCCAGTGTCCTAATTGGGAGATATCTAGCCTATACTTAAACAAAAATCGTGAAAAGTAAGTCATTCTAACGATCTTACTCTAATCCTGAATATGTATTAACCTATTATTATTATAGTGATATAGTATTTAAAGAAATCTCTTTAGTAAGTATGTTAATACACCAAAAGTAATTTAGTAGAGCAGCATCTCCAATGAACATGAAAATATTCAATAATATGTATTCTGTAATAAATAATGTCTTTGATGCCTACCCAAATTAAAAAAGTAATCTTCAAGTAATTCAATATCCTTTGGTGTGTCTATTTCACCAATGGCAAACTAAGGCAGCAATTTAAGAGATGTTCTTATCAATGCATATAAGTGAAATGGCATATGGAGCAAAATATTCACAAAACTGAATAAGAATTTATATATTTACCCATGTGGGCTCAGGTATCATTCAGAGTGGTATAATAGTCTAAAAAGTTTATTATAGCCCTGAGTATACTGAATTCAACAAATGTTTTGTAACCATTTAAATTTATTTACATGTATTTTTTGAAGGTAATAATGAAGCAAAAAAATGTAGACAGACATGTGAAACATATGAAAAATAATAAAATGATGTTGCTGAGAAAGAACTAATTTGTAAACAAGTAGATTTATCTGTTAGGTCTGGGTTCAGTAATCAGAAACCTTTGTTCTGCTCTGCCCCATTCCTTGATAAATTAAACCAGTTTGTTTCAATACTTCCTCACTGATCATAACAACAAAACCTCCATGTATCTTGGCACAATGTCAGTCTTGGTTGAAGAGAAACTGTGGACTAAAATAGCTAGGTGGGTAAGGTCACGCAGGAGGACTGAGGCTAGAGCTCAGGAGAGGCCACTTCTACTATACCTGTCTGCTGTAAGCTCTGCTGTGAACCTAACTGTAACAAGGACTAAAATTCACTCATGCTCTCTGGAAAGAAGGCATGGAATGTTAGAGTAAACCAGAGGTTAGCTTATGGTGTAAAGTGTCACTTATTAATTAATTCCTAATTAATAAGACAGCATTTTTCTATCAGCATAATACAATAGTTTATGTATTCTTACGGCTTAATATTGCTGTTTTTCTTTAAGATTTGTTTTCACTGTAAGCTTGTGGATAACACAAACATATCTATCTCACATCAGTCTAAATGATGTATATTTTTAAAACTGCTTTGGCTATACACAAAGATTAGGGTGTAAATGGGGCAAGAAAGATAAGCAGACTATAGAGTTTCACAAGGTAAGGTATGTTTAGTATATTTATTTTTGTATGAAATCACTTTTGAAAAAATTTTTTAGACTTGTTTACTTCTTAGTGATAATCATTATCTTATATCTAAAGAGCTAGAACTAAAAAAGAAGTACAAAATGTTTGCATTATATACTTGGGTCTTAGAGACCTATTCAATTTATCTATGCAGCTTTTATTAGAATAGAGACTGTAGACTACAATAATAGTCAATGAGGTTTTGTCTTGATTGAATTTTTCAGTGGAACACAAAAGAACCTTGCCATTAAAATAGTCCTTTATTCTCCTGTATGAAGGCGAAAGGTTTTTAAAGTGTTGTGATGTTCAGTAATGAGCCTCTATCTAAATTATCATTGGTGACAAACTCACAAAGCACTTTTCGAGGACACATAGTTATGAAATGCCAGAGCTGCCACTTTCTTTCCTGTAATTATAGGCTAGCTTGCAGCCCTTCAATGATCATTTATAGAACAGCCTCCAGTGGATTACTGAGAACTTGAAAAACACATACATACCTCTGCCACATCTCCCTTCTCCTTTCCTCGCTATTGTTTACCAGTGATATGTAAAATAATAGTGCCTATTCATTCCCCCTACTTAATTATGCCAATCAAAGTACAGAAATAGTGTCAGATATAAATACAATGCAATAAGACTAAATAAATAGGCTAAGTATTAACATTAAATTATGAATTTATGTATTTATGACTATTTTGTGCCCAAATTATTCTCTTTTATGTTTTTATAACTATCTCAGGTACTACATATTGCTGTTCAAAAATTCTCTATGATTTATAAATCAAGAATGAGATAATACTGAAAAATGAGAGGATTGGTGGATTTTCTCAGTCAGTGCCTAATTGCTGTTTCAAAATGCATATGCAAAGGGACATTTCATTAATCATTTAATCATGTCCCTTGCAGGAAGTTGGAACTAATGTTGCAAATACCCTTTTCATATGAATGCTCCATAATACTATTTTATGCATTTGATATATTGCCTATGTCATAAATTATGGCTGCTTCAAAAGGACCAAGTGGGGTTGTTATCCCTGAAGATGCTTGTTACAAAACCTTTATTAAGTTTCTTTTTTTACTTATTGCTAGTTCTATTTCACAGCTTCATACTAGCCAACAATAATACTCTTTCTGATGGCAAAGGTCTGTAAATTACCCATGCAATCACTAACACCATTTCACAGGCCTGTTCTACTTCTACTGGTCTGCTAACAAGGCGATTACACACAAATTACTGAATGCCTATGAAATATTTAAATGCATTCTACTCTACTATGCATTAATAAGAGCAAAGCAAGCTCTGGAATTCTGGTTAGCTCCAGTCCCTAATGTCCCCTAATGAGCCTCTTACCGAGACTGCAGTTCAAACAGAGAGGTGATGAAAAAATGCAAAGGGTGCCTTCAGAAAGGCAGCACTGAACAAACATTGTGTGAGCCAGTTCTAATTTATGGGTCACTTTATAGGTATATTGATTTTTGTTTTCAAAATGGAATAAATGATGTGGTCGACTGACGTTCTTTCAAAACCGCATTGAATCTGTGTGCTAGGTAGGTAGTGGGAACTAGAAAAAAACGTAAATAGGCAGTCAAATTCTTTCTAAAAACAATTAAGCAAGCATTTCAGGAAGACAAAAAGTAGGAAAGGATCCTTCCAATTTATTTAATGCACAATTCTCTTTAACAAAGCTTTTATGGTTATAAATGCATGTGGTAACTTCAATTATATACACTCCAGATTAGTGATTCAATTTTAGCCTCTAGATTTTTCAAATTCATTTAAAGTTATAACATTTTATAAGCTAAAAAGGGATCAGATTTAAATCCAAGTATGTCAGAGACTGTTTTAACAAAATGTTTCACTTGCATATCACTGGTGTTTGATTTATTTTGCATCAAGCTTTTTATGTTTAAACACTGACAGGAGTTTAAATACAAAATGTTAGCTGTCACTATTCATTTAGCTGATTATGTGAGATGCCTTAGTTTTGAGAGATGGGGGCACTGTCACCAAAAGAAACAACATTCTGACAAGTTCAAAGAATGCCTTCTTGAGGTCATAATTTTGTAGCCATGCTGCCTAGTCAAAGACAAAGAAATAGACAATACACACTAAGTAAGAGCATAATTTTTAGAGTAGATGGCTGCAATAAAAAAGACAACAAATTTCCATTAAATAAATTACTCAGTTTCCACGATGTTTTCTGTTGCCCTTCATATAGCATCAAGCCTTAAAAATTTAGCCTGTAATCGTCTATCAATTAATTCATCTTTAATATACTGATATTTTATGGGCACTAACCCTTCTGCTTTTCTTAAAGGAGAGTATTTCCACTTTTGTATCTCGGACCATGTTTTTTGTGCTGGCATATGCACATGCAGGTTCAAGAACACTTGTCTGCTAAATGGAATGTTATATTGTAAACCTTTTGGCTTAAGCACTAAAAGTCAATCCATCTATATTCAACCTGACTTAGTTCCAATGGAATGATAATTAATTTTGCAGACAAACTACTCTAAAGTTTTGTCAGATGTTATTACACTTTGACATTTATAAGACAGTAATGAAGAACTAGTATTAAATGCTTTTAATGATCTAGTGAGGTCCTCAATTAGTGGTCAGAAAAATGGTTGGCTTCTGTCAACACCTACTTTACAGTAGAACTTAAAAACTGTCCTAAACACTTTTTTACCCCACACTTCCTTCTTCATCTTGTATTTTCTCCTTCCATCATGGTGATATAAATACCAGTTTCTATCTTAGTCTTAATTTTTGTAATCTGATAGAATTGAATGTTAAAGTATATAAGAGTAAGAACATATAATATATAATACATAAGAACATATATATATGTTATACATAAACAATTGTCCTGTAGTGACTTTTCATTTGTCCTGGGCAAAAATAGAAGGATTCTTTCAGTTTGTTTTATTATGTAATGTGAGAAAAATAATTTGGGGCTCAATATATTTTCTAATATTTTTTGTTATTTAACATATGCAGGCTAAATAGTAATAATGTAGTTTCTTTATATTTTAAACCATTGTGTAAGTTATATGATACCAAATTAAAGCAGAAGCTGTAAAATTTATTTCTAATGCTAAGGAACTAAAAATGCCACAATAATATTTTCTGAAAAAACTTTTATAGTAAACACCGGATATAAAATTTTGGGAGAATGAATAAACAAGAAACTAAGAACTGAAAACTTTCCACAGCTTTTAGACTTGTCTGTCATTTCTTTCCTTCCAAACCTTCAATTTACTCTATTATTACAAAGGCAAAACAGTCTTCCTTCTGAGAAAATTTGTATAAGCGGTAATGTCATTTAATTTCCCACACAGATGCTAAATAAACTTTTTTACTGAATAACTGAAATTGATTCATTTAATAAAATATTTTATTAAATTTCTCACACATTTTAAAGTAGACAATATAGTATGGAAAATAATGTCTAATTAATATTTCACTTCAGTATAGTATACTGACATTAGCTCTATTAACAGAATTTATCACAGATCTTTGCGTCAGAGGAGAATCAAAGCATATCCAAACAAAAATGGACTAAAAATAAAGGCCTTTAAATCTACTGTCATTAGTTCTGTCATCCCTATAAAGTTAATGGGTTGGAAAAATGGTCAGTCTTTGGAACCAAAGTTGATATTTAATTAAAAGGAAATGCTTTTTTAATTGTAATTTCTTCAGTTTTTAAAAAACACTGGCATGAATATGAAAAAGGACTGTCTATAGAGGATAAAATGAGGATTCACATCATCTGCTTACTAGTAATAAAACAGTAAATATTTGAATAAATAAAAATGCACCTTTCCTTGTGTTTTAAATGAATCATACTGAAAGAAAGGTATTTTTTCCTAAAGATTTATTCTGAATTTCATCAGAAAGAATAATTTGGAGCAATAAAATTCATGGTGAGTGGGCTAATTCAATGGCTAAAGTTACTATTCTTAAAAGACAGTAACAATAGTCCTCTAAATAAGCTCGATGATAAGAAATAATATAATATATTGAGAAGGACTAATATATCAAAATGAAGAAATATGCCATTAGTTGTTACAATAATTAACATTCCTACATTCTGTCTTTGTTTTAACAATTTTTTTTTTGAGAGGAAAACTTTAGCAAAGTTGCCTAACATTTTTTAATACTCTCTTTGCTTAAAACAGTTTCATACCCAATGAAATGGCAGTTTACAACTATTTTGGTAAAACAGAAGTGCAAATTTTTATTTAAGGCCATTTACAAAGAGCCATAGTGGTAATGAAACAAATTTTCTCTTAATTGGTTGGAAATGATATATGGTTAAAAATTTTTTGTGGAATTCTTACTGTAATTCAGTTATAAAGTTATTATGATGCCAAGTACTTGTGCCTTATTGTTAAAGTGCTTTTGCTCTATACCCTGTAGTCAGTCTTCCATTTGTAAACACATCTTTTTGATGTTTCTGCCAACATCCTGGCAACAAAGCAGTGCAATTTCAAATGAGCTAATTAACTTAATTGTTGATGAAGCATGAAACAGTTCATTCACCCTGTTAGCTGCACCATGACAACATAAGAGTCTCAGCCTGTGAAGTTACTCATCTCCATAAACCTATTTGTAACTCTCTGTTTAGATTTCTTGTATGCCAGAGTTGTGTATGGAAAATGTTTCATGAAAGATGAATATTCTCACTTGAATAAGAACCCTTTAAGAATTTTTTAAATAAAATATTATCATATGAAAAAATTAAAGATACACAAAGTTTTGATTTTAAGCTAGAAAAGCCATTTAATCTATTATACAAACATATAACCATGTCTGTTTCTTTATGTTTCTAAGGGCAAAAGTAACAACGTGAATAGAGTGCAGTTATTTCTTTAAATTTTAGCCACAATTAACCCATTTTTTAATTCTTTTCAGTAAATGTATATATTAAATATCATTATTTATAGTAAGAAATATAAAGTCTGCAATTAGAAAAATAAACCTACAAAATGTTTGTTTAAATTATATATTTTCTGACTACTCACATAATATTACTTAGAAAGTTAAAATTTAAGAAAATTCTATTTTATAAGCATGTCTCCCAATAATTAATAACATATTATTATAGGCTAATATTTTTATTCATTCCAAAATCTCTATTGAATTATTTGTAAAATACTTTCGTGAAAAGATGAAGATGATGTGTTAACCTTCTTAGCCTGACTTTACTAATCCACTTGTTGGAGCACACAGCAATCTTAAAGTATGTTTTATTTTCCTTCTTCATATTTTGTTTTTTTAACAATGCACCTAAAACTCCCATATAATCCAACCCTCCCCCCTGAAAAAGTAAAAAACCTACTTTAAAAACTGTCCAAAATCTTCACAAATGCTTTCACAGCCTGGCCATTTGCAAACTCCATGGCCATAGAGAGTGTGAGAGGCCCCAGTCTCCTCATGTGACGAGCTATAGCAAAAGAACACGACGTCAGATACATCTCAAAAAGCCATAATCGTTGCAGGCTGCTAGCGCCTGTCAGGTTACGATCAGTGACAAACAGGTCAAAACAGGTCAATTCAGCTCAGAGCAGTCAGAAAAATTTAATCGTTCTATTGAATAGTTCAACTGCCAAGGCTAGATGATGTTCCAATTAGAGGAGAAATAGAGCCAAAGATGACTGTTAATAAAGGATGAAAAACTTAGAGGACTGTATAATATCATATGCTAATCCTGCCATATGACCTTAATGTAACATTTTGCCTCTAAATAAAAAATATATATTCATATGTGGTCAAGTGAAAAGAAAACGGTATTTTTAAGAAAATAATAGAACCATAAGATTTTTGAAATGCTCTTTTTTAAAAAAGAGATGGACCTTTAGGATCATTTAAATGCTTAATATTTATGTGTGAATCATATATTTCTACTAGTTACAGTTGATTAAAAAATACTGCTTTAGAACAATATTCATTAACTATATCCTGCTATAATTATTGAAGACTTGGAGATAAGTGACTATTATGTCAGAGAGATCCTGGAGAAATCAACCCACTTCTGAAATATAGTATAATCATCAAATTAATCTCAATTAAAACAACACTGAAAACATTTAAAAGTATACCATTTCATAGTAAAAGCTAACAAGAAAAATTTTCTATAATACTCAAATGAAGGCCAGAAACACCACCAAATTATAGCATTCTATTTTAAACTGTACTATAATTAAATATGTTTCTTTGAAAAATATTTATTTATGACAAAAAAGTTGTTGTACCATGGTAGATACTTATATTACATAATAGAACAGTATAAATACACTACACTTACGAAGTTTGGAGCTACATATAATATAAACCTAAGCCACTCTCTTAAGAAATTTTATGCTTACATTTCATCTTTTAAAAAGAGATCTTTTTTATATTGAGCAATATTTTAGTTTATATAGTCTATGTGAATTACTTTAAAGGACTTGATTAGATAGCAGTATGTCTAAATAAATGGAACTTAATGGACAAAAGTAAATGGGTGTTTCTTTTACAATGGCAGTTTTTACACAACTAAAATAAAATATTAAGTTAAAAACTATCTAACACAATGCATTTAATGTTGGTAACTGAAGCCAAATAATTTTTCTGTAAGAATTTTTAGTCATATTTATTCAGAAAATTACCAATGTCAGTTTATTTTTATGTACTTACAAATCCCATCATACCACAATAAAAAAGGCAAATCAGATTTTCTATCTTCTGGTTTATTATGCCTCTGTTTATATATTTATATATATCTATTCTCTGATTTCTAAGCTTATGTTTGAAACATATTAAGGGTTACACATATACATCTTTAATTATTTGTAATTATAGAACTGATTTTTAACTTGAAAATTGGTAAAATGTTCTCATAGCAAACAGGTTAATCATACCATCTTAGTCATAAAAATATAGTGATACAATCATTTCTTATATACTTATGAAAAAATAAAAATCTTCAGGTAAACTCTCAACTATATCAATCAAACTGCTAGTATTTGAACTGCTTTTTTTTTAACAATAAAAAAGAATATATAAGACAAATAATCCAAATATTGCTTTTAACCTGTTATTCTACATATTTTATCCGTGTTCAGTACAAGTTGCTTTCAGTTTTATCAATGGTAAGAATAAAACCTGGTGATAGATAAATATAGAATAAAGCTCATGAGATTTACCTGTCTCGCCTTGCATTTAAAACTGAAGACTGTCCATTCACTATGGAATGATGAGTTATTGGTGGTGATGCTTTGGAAGTGGTGGAGGAGGTAGTCGAGGAGGAATTGTTAGTAGTGAGGTCCAGCCCTCCATGTTTAATGCCATTGTCTTCCATACTGTGAACTCCAGTCACTTCTTTCCATAACTGCTGAATCTCAGCAGGACTTAAGCCAGCTATAAAAATGAAAGAAGGCCCCACTAAAGTAACAAGGTAAAGTTCATATAACAAGCTTAGTGTTATTAATGGATTCATACCACTGACAAAAGTGATGTTACTAGCATTAATTAACATACAATAAAAATCACTTTTATGCCATCAGCATCATAGTTTTTGTCTTGAATAATCACTTATTTGCTAAAGACTACCAATTTGAAAATAGTACTGGGAATAATATCAAGGATTAATAGGAAAAACCCCCTGCAAGTTCTATTTGAAAATTGAACTATTCAATTTTTAACAGTAGCTTTTACTTATTGTTATTATTAAGTTTTGTTTTTAATCAGTGAGGAACTGAAAGAGAAATAGGTATCAAAAATTACACATCAAAAGAAAAAAAATGTAAGAAGGAAAACAAAAATGTCAGAGAAAAATAGTGAACACAACTCAAAAGAAAAGAGATTTGACAATTATCTGGTTATTTTGATCTTTCTCAGAGAGGCAAACTAAATAATTGAATTTAACTTCCTCAAATTCCTGAATAAACCAATATGCTTTCCTATATTGATCACTGAAGGAGATTAATATCTAAAACTCTCCTTCATTTATGACTGAGAGAATAAATCAATACTCATTTTGAACAATTCTTGGTTCAGATTATGCAAATTTATTTGATATTATACAATAGAAAAGTCAGGCATATTACTTTAGTTTTTAACTATGATTTTGAAATAAGACATTGAGAGACTATTGTTTATAATATTTGACTTACCAAATAGTACTTATATGTACCAAGTACTCTGTATATTCTTTATATATTTTATACTCTTTAATCCTCACTACCAGTTAATGGAGTTGGTATTTTCAGTTTATCCAATTTATAGGTAAGGAAATAAATGGAGAGAGAGATTCAAAAAATGTGTGTAAGGTCACAAAGCTTATACATGCTAAAGTTGTCATTTAAATCCAGGCAGTCTGACTTGAGTACTTTTGCTCTTAAAATACTATATTAAGAAAATATTAAAACTACTGAATTAAGATGTATAAGGGAAAATTAAGCTGTAATTATATTTGCTATTATTTGTTGAGCATTTATTATATTCTGGTGTTTTACTAAGTGCTTTACAGTCACAATCTTGGTTAACTTCACTTGAGGTTAGGAATCTTTTATATTTTACAGAAGAGATTTATTTAACCTCAGTTAACCTCACTTGATATTAGGAATCATTATATTTTACAAGGAGGCTCAGAAAGACTAAATATGTTGCCCCAAATCACTCAATTTATAACCAGTGGACTGAATCAAACCAAATGCCCTGTAGCTCCAAAATCTTCATTCTTTATCACCATGTGCATTGACAACATCTAACAGAAAGATGGAAGAGCTATTCAAACTCCTCCTCCTCAAGCCAACATACATCTATATCAGATGCTATAGTAATGTTGATCAGTCAAGAGGTGTGTAGGGTAGGACCGGTTGGAACAGGCAGCAGGGAAAGGGGCAAGATAACAGAGTATGATGATCACCCCTACCCTGCAAGTGGAAAAATCACTAGTCAAGATATAGTGGTAAGTAGCCAATAGCAACAAAAAAGTTCTCACTGTTTCAAACATATTTTTGGTCAAATTATACATCATGGTAACCTTAAATTGCTGTGCCTATCACAATTTCACACAGGTAGTTTTACTGAAAGCTATCATTTCAGTGAATTTGGCTCCTCAAGATTTTAAGACACAGCCTGAAACTAAAGACAAGACAGCATAATTCAGGTTTCCAAGTTCTTTAAAGCTATTTTTTTTTCTATAAAAAAGAGAGTAGCTTTATAAAGAATTATCTGTTACATAGGAAACAATTTCTATATAAAAATCATTAATTATTGCTTTAATTATAGCTTTAACCTAGAATTCTGAAATTTTCTTACTATAGCTTTTTGATTACTTGTGTGTATATGTTAGATATCCTAAGAGCAAATCTCCATTAGCAAATCTTTTTACTTGATGGCATCATCACATTTTCTGCTTAGAACTCTCTCCATCTCACTTGCTGCTTCTCTGCTCCATTGCCAACTCTTGCCTGGACCACAGCTAAAGCTTTCCAACTCTCTTCCTGCTATTATCTGTCCTTGAATATATGAATTTACTCTTCATATAGCAGCCAAAAATTCTGTCTTTAAATTTAAATTAGGTCATGTCTCTGCTTTCCAGACAAAGCCTCCAAGGGCTTTTGAAAACACTTAGAAGTGAACAAAACAAGAAAAACCAATAAACAAACTAAAACAACCCTTACTATCGACTTTGAGGTGTTACTTTATTACCTGGCACTTACCTGTCTCTCTGACCTCATCCATTGCTCTTTCTTCACATTTCATACTATTATACCACTAGCTTTCTTCTTCTTGAATGCAACAAACATTTGCTCCCTTTCCAGCCTTTGCTCTGGTTTGTTCCCACAGTCTAGGCTACTCTTGTGTCAAATCTTCCCATGGCTTCCTCCTTCCCTTCACTTAGATGGTTCAAAGGTCATCTCCTCTGAAAAGTCTTTGATCACACTATCAACCATTGCCCATTCCCACCCTGCCTTCTAGCATTCCTTAACCCTATTTTGTTTTCTTTAGAGCATTTATCAGTTTCTGATACCATTTTATCTATCTATCTATCTATCTATCTATCTATCTATCTATCTATCTATCTATCTATCTATCTATTTCTTGTTATCACCAGTCTGCCTCCACTACAATTTAAGGTTTATAAGAGTAGGGATTTCTTATTTTACTGGGATATCTCCAGTACCTTGAACAGTGTCTGACATGTGCTCAATAAATATTTGTTGATTTCATTGATTATAGCAGTCTTACAGTTCTCAAAGACAAGTTGGTTCTCACATGGAAGTTTTACGACTCTTACAGGAAATACTATTTATGAGCATTGTTACTATATATGACCAATGTCTAAAGAATTATAAATGGTACTAGTTGCTTCTAACATAGATGGAGTGGCTATAACATTTTAGATCTCATCTAAAGACTTAGATGTTTCTAGTGACTATACCAGTTAATTATATTATTAATAACTTACTTTTGGGATTTTATTAATTTAGTTAATCTCAGTATTCACTTTCCTTCTAAAAGCAGATTTGTATGATATCATTCATTTGTATTGAAACTTAGTGATATCGCCATGCTACTGGAATGATAACAAATGCTCTAGGCACTTAGTAGTAGGCCCTCAATAAAGATCTCATGAATAAATAACCTGTTCAAATAATCCAAATAATGTTTCTTAATTAAAAGCATGAGCAAATGGTTTTCAAATACTGTAGATAAGGGGCAGAGAATTAAAGAGGTCAAAAAGAGATTTCTCTTAGCAGCTGTGGTTCCCATAAGTACCTGCATATTAGAATTACCTGGGGATATTTTAAAACCTCTAATGTCCTGACCACGGCCCAGACCAATAAAACCACACTTCTGGATACAGGCATGTAGTTTTTGAAACTCCACAGGTGATTCCAATGTGCAGATAATTGGGGAGGATTTTAAAAAGAAAACTATTACCTTGTTCTTATGTAACTGATCAGCTCTTTTCTATAGATGCAAAACTATAAATATGCAACAATTAGCCAATCAATTTGGTACAACTTTAAAAGTTTTATGAGTTTTGAAGGCTTGATGGTTTGCAAAAATTAATTTAGGTTATTTTTCAGGCAGTAATATAACAAGTTCATTATTCTCTAAACAGTGTTCTATGTAACAGGAGTCTTCTAAACGCTGTTAACCTAGGAGGTCTGTGGTCTCTATATTGGAGGCTCATTATTCATGTAAAACAGTTGTGAGATGTCTGTCTAGTAACAAAGAAAACTTGAATCTTTTTTAACTCAGTGTTTTTCAAATATGCTGGAAAAAGAAAACCCCAATAAACTCTTTTTACAATGACACAAATTCACATCAGTTTTAAATACCAGGTATAGGCTTAGGATTCACCAACTGATCTCCAGCCCATAACCCTCTATTAAAAACTACAATCTTTGATATTTCCAGATAACCTTATCAGGTTTCTCAAACCTCATGTGTTCAAACTAAGTTCCTGTTTATACAGTTCCCTCACCCAGCCCCAGAAGACTCCTTTTGTAGTTTTCTTAATCTCTGTTTTATTTAACCAATGCTTATATGGTGCTTCTGATATGCCAGGCACTGTTCTAAGTACTTCACACATGATAACTAATCCAACACCCCAAACCATTATTATTATTACTGCTATTACTATCCTCATTTTAGAGACAAGGAGACTAAGGCACAGAGAAGTCAAGTGACTTCTGTGGAGCTAATCCATTGCAGCGCTCCCTCACATTTTCAGGTCATTACTCACATGTCACCTTCTCAAGACTCCTTCCCCGAGCCACCCTACCAAAAGTTCAACTTCTACTATTTCCTATTGTTGTTTCATTTTTTCCTATCTTTATCTTTATTTTTCTCCTTAGCACTCACCATTATATGTTTTACTTAACTTATTTATTATTTGTCTTCTACCCTAAAATGTATGTTTTATGATGGTAGGGATTTTTGTCTGTTTTCTTTATTGCTATATCCCCAGTGTCTATGAAAAGGGCCTGCAGTTGGTGCAAGCTCAAAGAATAGTACTTAACAGAGTTTTAAAATTTGGCCAGAACACTAGTGTACTGGCAAACACACTCTGGAAATCAGTGAACTAGACCATTATAGGTTAAGAGTCAACTTTTATCTTAAGTGCAGATTATTAATTTCTCCTAATAACTTATTTCAAAGATATATACATTATGAGTGCCAAAAAGTTTTATAATTATGTAATTTTTTAATTCCTTGACTAAAAAATATCGAGAAGCCCTATTCTACTTTTGGATAACTTGGGCTGTTTGTCAGACCTAATATATTGATTTGTATTTGACTAGAGGCCAACCAGCACCTACAGATACAATGAGCATCTTTAACATGTATGTCTAATGAGAGGTGCATCAAATACACATTTTCTTCAAACACCAAATTACAGGGAGTAAAAATAGGTAGTTGACTGAAACTGAGATCAAAGATATTAATAAATGTCTCCACCAAAAAAGAGACTTCTTGGATATGGGAATATAATTGATATGTCCCATTAAGACTTTATTACTACATTTTTTAGAGGCTGAATTTTTAAAGCTTGATAGTCTGTTACAAAAACAATAGTTTTTTTTGTTTTCCTCATCATGATATTTTAACGTGGCAAAGTTGGCATTTTGCTTTTGAGTCTTCCTCTCAAGATATAAAGAATTGCCAAATATAACTTTTTAAAAAGACTCGAGAACTATATGTAATTACATCCATTTTACTATTATATATGCTATTTTACAAAACAATTCTACAATTAAATTTATCATATAATTTAATCTCAATCTTTCTATCTTATTTACATATTCTCAAAAACTAACTCAACAATTCAATTTTTCCCTGTATTTAATTATTTACAAGTTAGTTTTTATACATAAAATTAATAGCATCCACAGGCAGCATTGCAGAGTTTTACTCCTGCAATAATAAATGTACATTTAAACTTCATGTCACTGATGGAGATTTAGCATATAAAGTCCGAAAGGAGTTTTTTTCTACAAGTTTCAAATCCCAAACTTTCTGGTATTTGAAAAGGTAATGGTGGCAACAATAATTCTGCATGACATGCATTGTTCATATTGCCAGTGCCGTTACTATGATTATATACAATAGTAATCTATGTAAGCAAATGATCACTGATTAAGCAAAAGATCTGGAATGTAACAAGTAGGCATATGGCTATTCAGACTTCCATAAGCAGAGAATGAAATCCACGCCAAATAGATGATTTTGCCTGAAAACTGAGGCCAAAGATTATCTTCAGCACATTCCTAACTCAGCCTAACAGGCATTATTATATTTTATTTAAAAATATTTCATTTTCTTTCCTACTCAACAGTTTTCTGATTCCAAACTCATCTAGTTCTATAAGCTTATATGTTCAAAAGAATGCCATCTGGAAGCTAGCATTCCCTGTTTGGTCTTTTAGATTGATAATAAAAACCTTATATTTTAAATAACTTATAAATAAAAAATATGTAAAAATTTAGAGTGAAATAAAATTATCCCCACATATATGTCAATCCATATAGTCATAGTAAACCTGTACATATATTATATATTGGGATACACAGCCTTTTATCTGATGTCAAAAATATATCAAAGTTTAAAGTACATGTATAATTTCCTATTTACTAGAGATAATGATATTAGGTGATTAAAATGTGTCAATAAATTTAATTATTAGTTGATATACAAACTCTACTATCTACACAGTAAATAGATATATAATCAGTATATTATTTGAAATCGAACTATAAATCCAACCTTTTTTGACTTCTGTGTACACCTACTGACACTCTATATGCAATATACTTAGACATACTTAGAGATGGTAACTTAATTGCCTATTTTATATTAAAATCCAATATTATAGTAATACTAATGACTTTAAGTACTTAATATTTTAAATAATTTTGTTAAGATGAATAAATGCATTACATAGCTTTAGGAAAAAAGTTTGTAAATGTCCTACTTTACAAAAGTTATTATAATTTTGTTACTTCTCATTTTTTTTTTTTGGAGATGGGGTCCTCATTGTGTTATTTCTGATTGATATGCCTTTTTAAAACATATTTTAAGGAGTTGTGACTTTAAAAGTAACTTGAAGAACTTGTGTTAAATTAGGGGAATAAATAAAATATGGCTTTTTTTTTTAACAGGGTCTTGCACTGTTGCCCAGGCTAGCATGCAGTGGTGCAATCATAGCTCACTGCAGCCTTCAACACCTAGGCTCAAGCAATCCTCCTTCCTCAGCCTCCTGAGTAGCTGGGACTGTCAGCACGTGCCATCAGGCCTGGCTAATTTATTTATTTTTATTTTTTGTAGAGATGGGATTTTGCTCTGTTGCCCAGGATAGTCTTGAACTCTTGGCCTCAAGCAATCCTCCTGCCTCACTCTCCCAAAGTGCTAGGATTACAGGCATAACCCACTACACCCAGCCTAAATATGGTGTATTTTTAAAGACACAATAAGAACATCTTCTGTCATTACATATTAATCCCACTTAGTTTTCAGATGACTATTTTCCATGGCCAATGAATTAATAACCAAAAATGTGGTGCAAAGTGAACTAAAAACTGATAATAAAAACATTCAAAATACTTTTACCTGAAATAACCAGCACTAAGGCACAAATGATTCAGGTCAGGGCTTGCATTATCCAATGATTGCTTCTTTACTTTTTCCCACTCTAATTTTGGGATTCCAGCATAGTACGATAACATCGTGTTCCTTTACTATAACTGTTGTGTCTGACACACTGTGTCTGTGTTTGACTGATGAGTCTCCAAAATGAAACTTTTCACATTTAGTCATCTAAATGGTGAAAAATACGATGATGACTCCAGTTTGTGGGGCTTACATGGCACCAAAAAGAACTTTGATCAGTGAGCCAACTACATTTTTGGCCCTACATTTACTCAAATAGATTTTTTCACCTTTATTAATAGAAACGGGTTTCAGTGATTTCATCTTTTTTTTGCTTAAAATATAGATTTTCTGCTCAAACCCAGATGTTTTCAGATTTACTTTCTTTTCCTATATGTTCTCCATCCTGTGCATTTTCTCTCTCCTATAGCTTATGGTGGGTAAAAATAGAAGAGGGAAATGATAATTCTAGCAAAAGAAAGCTCAGCATGAAGACTATTAGAATGGTTCTATCATAATAAATCTTATGGTTCAGAGGGATATTTTTTGCTTGTTTTAGAGAATGTACTTTAACAAATATATTTTAAATAAGTTACATTGTTTTTATATGAACACATATTAAATCTTCTTGAAATGTTTGAATAGTTTTACTAAAACAAGGTTGTAGTAGATCATGCTTTTATATTGAGCAGATTCTCATATAAGTAGATCTAAAAACAGATTTCATTGAATTTTACTGAAAAAATTAATAAGATACTTATTGCTTCTGTTTTAGCATAGTTTCTATCAAAGAAGTCCATGTTACAGTGACTTAATTTATAAACTCTTATCTTTTTAAACTTTTATATCTTCATTTGTCCTCAAATTGTACTTGTTTTTCCAGAGAACAATAATTTGTGAACAGAACATTCATTGCTATGATAATACCATGCTTTATTCCAATTCTCTTTAGAATAACTCAGAAAAGTGGGTTTACTGCCATTTCATTTGTTGTTTAAACTTTCTTTTTGATTTCCTAGGAGTGCTTCAATCATGTGCATTACAACATTTGAAGTCAAGTGAAAAAGAAAATCTGGGAAACATAAACCAAGGAGACATTAATTTGATAGAAAGAGAAAACATTATCACAATATTCTTGAATTTCTTCAGTTTGTCCTATAGGAGTCAGCAAAATGTACAGCAAATACTACTATAATGTGATATGATGAATATAATTCACTTGAATTAAAGTTAATTTGTATTAATGTTTGTTCCAACAAAATCCAAAAGCAAATTAGAATATTCTTTTATGTAGTTTAATGATATGTGACTTTTACCTGAATTGAGAATTTTAGCACAGAGGGTCATTTGTTTACCATTAATTTTCTTTCTTTCTTTCTTTCTTTCTTTCTTTCTTTCTTTCTTTCTTTCTTTCTTTCTTTCTTTCTTTCTTTCTTTCTTTCTTTCTTTCTTTCTTTCTTTCTTTCTTTCTTTCTTTCTTTCTTTTTTTTAACTTAGAACTCTTTCCATTTCCCAAACGCTTAGAGTAATACATACATACAATTGTATTATCAGAGTACATCCCGAGTTTTCTTATAGAAAACCAAACAAAAATACTGTTGGCAGCTTTTTAAAACTATAATTTATAGTACATAAATAGGCAATATTACTTTAGAGAAAACAGAATCAATATGGTCCCATGACATAGGATGGGATTCCACAAAGCATAACTTGGAATGTGCTCTGCAGAAATACAGGAAGCCTCTCTTTTATATGTGGAGATTTCAGCTTGAAGATTAGGAACTTTTATCTCTTTCTTAATCAGTTGTCCACCAAGACTCCTATCGGCTCAGTTATGTTAAATGGAATGCTGTCAGCCTTCCCAGTAATCCAATTCCCTGCAGATCCTCCTGTATATTCAATAGCTTGAATTGTGTTGCCCTTATAAATTATTTTCTGTCCACAAGACTAATAAATACACATTTAATATCCAACAAAATTCTTGAAAGCAGTGTTACTACACACTTGAAAGCAGGATATAGTAAAGTTTCTCAGCCTCAAGAAAATGGGTCATGCAACCATGTTAACAATCATGTTTTAATAATAAACTTGAAGGTCATAAAAACAAAATTTCTCAAGGTATAAGGTAGACAGGCCATGAAATGGTAGAAAGTGTAAGATTTGAAATGAAGTGTGCACATCATTTTGTATGTACCTTGAGGCAGCGATTGGACAGGAAGTGCCGCCTGGCCAGGTGGAATGGAGATGAGTCCCTGACGCTGAAGGCTAAGCAGATGCTGCTGCTGCTGGAGTTGTTGCATCTGGAGAAGCTGCTGCTGGAAGACAAGCTGCTGGGCTGCCAACTGCTGCTGCTGCTGCTGCTGCTGCTGCTGTTGCTGCTGCTGGTGTCAGAAAACCCAACCCAGTAAACAGCAGAGAACATGTCTGCACAAACAGCTCTCATTCAGAGAAATGCATACTCCTTTTACTGCCTGGCTGACTTTTTGGTCATCCTATGATCAAAGCTCAGGGGAAGAATGGGAACAAGTTCTAAATTTTCAGTTGCTTGTCTTTCAAATATCAAACAGCAGCAGAACACCAAGGAACTTGCATTAAAAGAGTATGGAATAAGGTCTACAAATAATATGTACAAAAAATTCAGTTTTTTTAAATATCAGCTTATTGCAGATGATAATAAATTTATCTGGATCTAAAGAATAACACTTTATAGAAACAGTCAACTGCCACAACACTCTTTTTTTCCCCAGCTGAATAAGTTTGATCTGCAGAGGTCCACAAATGTGGTCTCTAGTGATCTATTAGTAAACTGGGACGTAGCCTTCATAGCACAGGGCTGTCAGCTCTCTGTCTTTCTCTCTTCTTATTGGAATATATTAAAGGCAGAATTATGTTCAAGGCACAAAAGTGCCCTTATTATAAGGGAAAGTATAACTTCCAATTTTGTGAGGCATTACAAGACAAACCAGAGTTCTTTGGACTCGGGAGGGTATGAGATGGCAGTCACACTTCAGAGAAAGACAAGCTACTGTGGAAGACCTTTCCTTTTTAGTTTGGGGAAAAGAGAAACTTCTGATGCGCTCACTGGAAAACAGACTGCATAATGGAGCAAGTCATGTGGATTGCCCAAAGCCTCCGGAGAAATAAGGGAGCAATTTCTATTCTGTAGTTGATGGCTGTCTGAAATTCTATTCACAAATCCAAACAGAAACAAAGCCTCAGGAGGTCAAAACTGTTTCCTGTACGTTTGCATAATGGGCAGCTTGAAGACAACAGCTCTGATACCTGCTGATCAATTTAACTACTTCAACATGTTTTGTTTGTATTATGTTTATATTTGATGCAGTATGCTGACAAGTGCAAGCTAGGCCTGAGAAGCTAGCTTGTCAGGTTGATTTATGAGCATATCAAACTGTAACTTTCTACTCGCCACTCCAAACCTACAGTAGCAGTTCATTAATCAGGGGCCTGTGACTTTGAAATCTGCGCTCAACCAGTTGGTCCCCTAGTTTCCCCACCCCCCACAACAGGGTAAATTGGCCTGCATGTTCTCTGAGCCACACTGCTGAGAAAAATAAGGTTCCCTCACCAACTTAGATTCTCAGTGAATATGAGATAATCAGTACTTTGTCCACCACACGGCTTGCTCTTTGTACACTGTGATTCATTAGTGAACATTAGACGACAGCAGCATTGGATTGTAACTCTCAAGTCCCATGCTATGAAAAGGGACAGCCTGAGAGTTCTACTGTCACTGGTACTAAGCTCAGTGAAAATATATAAAACTGCATCTTTGATAGCAAGAGCCTTGTTATAGGAACATCTAAGACTATTCTTGCCTCTCAGAGCCCCTTCTCAACCTCATACTGTATGTATCAATGAGATAACCAGATCCTACCTCTTTCACTTGCTTCCCAGGATGCTGCTGCTGCTGCTGCTGCTGCTGTTGCTGCTGCTGCTGCTGCTGCTGCTGCTGCTGCTGCTGCTGCTGTTGCTGCTGCTGCTGTTGCTGCTGCTGCTGTTGCTGCTGCTGCAAAAGCTGAAGATGTAACTGCTCTTGCTGTTTCTTGTAAAACTCTTGTAGTTGTTGCTGAATAAACCATTTTGACTTTAATAAATAAAGGCAAAAGTTTCATGTAGTATAAATCTCCTAAACTCTTCTAGACTGGCATATGGTAGAGTATCCATTAAGATTCACCTCATAAAAAAACAACAAAAAAGTTTATGCATTGGATTCAAAAAGACAGCTCTACATACATTTTTTTCCCCCAAGGCAGCTCTGAAATATTCCAATCCAGAATCCAAAATTTCCTAAACAAAAGGGTATAGAAAAATCTGTATTCTAAAGGGCCAGAGCCAAATCAATACCCTAAATTATTATGTCTGAAGTTATACTGGCATATAAAAAATAGTTGATAACTCTACCACCAGAAAGAATCAAAATTTAGCTACATAAAATCAGGTTGCTCAATTCTTATTGGAAAAAGTTTAATCCAATAGATGTTCAGAACACTGTCAGATATACAAGTGGCTGGCCTGTAGAAATACAAGTGTCAGATATACAAGTGGCTGGCCTCATCATTGTAGAAAATAGCAAAGTAATTAAATACATAAAAATTCAGGTAAAGCACATTTTTTTTCTATATGATAAGTAAGTATATAATATAAAGTTCACTTTAGATACATATGAGGCTCCAATAAAGTTACATATTAGAAACACTATCTTTGATATTTAAAAAAGATAAATTTCATAAATTTGTGTCTTAGCTGCCTAATTTTATTCTAAAGTAAATTCTGTTCTTTCTAAATGATAAGTATATTTTGAAAAGGAAAATTTGAGACTCTACTTTCTCTATTTTAACAAAGCGGTCAGTTCAAACTTCATACTTATATGGACTAAAAGGAGTGCTGAAGTGTTAGGAGTTTTAAAAGAAACAATTATCTAAGTATTTTTACATTATTGTGTGCAAGTCTACAAATCAAATGTACCTAAATATTTGATTCTTTAAATATTGATTTATTCTTTTCAAATTATACCTTTCTCTGCTCTTATTCTAGACTCTAATGAATTTAAAAAAACACTAAGGAATCCAAATTTTCTTATACGTTCTACAATGAAAAGGTTACATTTATGTTCTAGCCTGATGATAGGTTGTCCCTTCAAAGGGAGATTGAGTTTTCGAATATGCCCATTACACTGTCAATATTAGTGTGCACCTTCTGAGCCACGTGAGAACACCAAAAAAGGTAACCCACATTACCTGCTGCAGCATGACTGCCTGCTGCTGCTGGAGAAGGGCTTGCAGCTGCTGAGGAGACAGGACTTGTTGCTGAAGGATCTGTTGCATTTGCTGAGGGGTGATCACCTGGGGAGTCATCATGGCCACTGACACAGGCACCTTCAAGAAAAGAGAAAGAGAGAGAGAAAGAATGGTCATAAGCAAGTGTCTGTTAACTGACTTCACAGCTATATGTCATGTTTTATAAATGCTTCAGCATTGATCAATAATTTTATATAACATTTCTATATTATATAACTGCTTAATAATATTAAAGTAGCACAAAATTTAAACACTAGCTTTCCAGAGGCATCAAATTTCATCAAACTCTAACTTTATGACCCACACTTCCTATGTATTATATTAAGACCTTTGATCTTTAGCTCATATAGTTAAAAATAAATAATTACATGGCAGTGTTCTCAATAGTTCATAATTAAAAATCTCATCCATATCATAGTGCTATAAGTAAAAAGCCTTTTAAAATGACTTGAAAGAGTGATTAAATAATACAGATAAAACAATTGGAAATAATATGCATATAAATGTTATCTAAACTAGTAAAAAGCATATATGTAGAATACACTTACTTATAAAATGCAATCATCATCTTCCAAATTTTATATATATATAATGTAGTACTAGAAAATAATATAGTAATAAATATTACTACATGAGGACATGTACTGACTCATATAAGAGATGTAAATATACATATATATGCATATATATCCAAAAAATAGCTATATAGATAGGTCCTCTGAAAGAAGGAATCATAAGTCTAGTATTCTAGCTTCTTCTTTAAACATTTTCTTATTTCAAGCAACTAAACTTATTCTAGGAAGTCCAGAACTCTAGAGATTACTCAAAGATTATTCATTAACTGAAAAGAATGAAAGTATTTTGCCTAAAATTTCATTTCCACTACTTCTTTTTTCTTTAAGGTTCTAAGAATGAAAGAGGAGGCAAAAAAAAAAAAAAAGAATTTGAGGACAGAGAGAAAGATATAGAGGAGAAAGAGGAAGAAGGAAAATATAGAGTAATGAAAAGCTAGGGAGAAAGCCCTAGAAAAAGGGAGAAGAATGTGAAGAAATAGAAACAGGATGGCAAGAAAAGTGCACAGGAAAAGCTGTACAGAAGCCTGAGTTATATGCTAAGATCGGAGGCATTCACACTGAGGCATTGCTTGTACTAACCAGCATGTAATCAAACAACTTGTCAACTTGCCAAGTTTGCAACCTTTGAAATAGCAATCATTTTCTTTCCTAGAAAAAAACAATTCACTTTTACTGTAAATAAAAGCAAGTATTTATATAAATACTGCTTTAGAACAAATTTATGGGACAATGTGTCTTTGAAAACAGAAAAAGATTAATAGACATCATTCACAATCTATTTTAATAGTCATTTTTTTAGTGCAGTTCAAACTTTTCCAGTCTGGAATTCTATGTTATAAAGGAAGGAGAAATTAATAATGAAAAAGAGGTTAGAAGGGAAAAGAAAATGAAACCCAAGGTGACTAATTCCTCTCTCTCTCTCTCTCTCTCTCAAAAAAGCTTCATATTTAATACTGAAAAATACTTGTATTTTCTTTTCCCCATGTTGACATCTTCAGATCAATTAGATCAAATTTTATAATATGAAAAAGAAACATTATGGCAGAAAGGAATTCAGGAATTTTCAAAAATATTTCTGGATTTTTTTTAGAACATACTAGCATACCCAAAGATTGCTGCATTTGAATTTATCATTAAAAAAAAGCATTCTGAAATGTACACTATAAAATTAATTGACTCAATGGATTGCCCAAGTGCTTGGTTGTTTAAAAAATTGATTGTTAGTTTACTTAATTGCCTGTTCTTTAATAAACAAATAGACTGGTTAGATGCAGTTTGGAAAAAAATTTACCTTTCTACAAAAATGCCTTGTCTTCAAATCATTTAACTCATGCTATTAAATTATCTCCAAATAGTAAGAAATCAAACTGAAATGAAGAGACAGAGAAAGAGAGACATGTCAAACTTTAAAAAGGTTGTCAATGCAGACAGATAAATAGATAGATGGACAGATAGATATAGAGAAGATAGATATAGAGTTGATAATATGTATATAGATATATACATAGAAATATATAGCTTCTATAAATTCAGTCATGTGGTAAGAAGCTTGCCACACTTCTCTCACTTACCAGCTCTTTGTTACTTTTCAGCATACAGAGTGTTTTCACTTAATTATCCCTATATCTACAAGTAAAAGTACTTTATATATAATGGTAACAAATGAACTTTGTAAGGAAAGTTCTATGAATGGAGGCATGCCATAGTCTGCTACAAGAGTACAGTCAGATTTTAGCCTACACAAATAATATAACTCTATAGTTGGTTGTTATTATAACTAATTTTGTGTATGAGCAAATTGAAGCAAGTTTTCTACCTTTCATTTTTTAGAATTCATTACTACTTTCATTATATAGCTTAGATGAATATTTTTACACTTTCATTATATAGCTTAGATGAATATTTTTACTCTTAAAATGGTTTGCGTGACTTACAATGAATAGTTATGACATAAAAATAACCATCACATCATTGTCATCCTAAATGGCAATGTTCATATGTTATATTAAATGTTCATATGTATGTAATGTTTTACAAATTTTGAGCAGTTCTGGTCTTCCTGCCAGGAAACTGCCACCTAAAATGGATAATATACAGACATAAAAATATGTAGAAAGATAACCTAACTAACACACAACTAATTAAATACTCTACTTCCATATATATAAAATTAAAATTAAAATATGACTCATTTTAAGTGATATATTTTCTTTATTCCTCCTTCATCACTTTTGTTACTGTTCCATTGCATTTCTTTGCTACCACAAGCTACTCTAAAAATTCACTGACAGAAATGAATAAAGATTAACTGTATCCATATAAAAATTGAGAGATTATACTACTTATCAATATAGAAACACACAAATCAGCATCAGATTTCTAAAAATCTATGGATTACTTTCTGAAACACACACTGTAGCCAGTCAGTGTTAAGAAAATATTTTTCACTAGATATATAAGTTGATTAATGCAAATATTCTAATAAGGGATCACAGTTTAGATTTGTTACGGAGGGGAGGGAGAACTTACTTCAGATATTTTCCTGTAAAAAAGGTAATAAAATTCTGGTAGCTTTACCACCAAATGAAATCAGAAGGAATAGTAAGTTTTGAATGACCATTTATCAGTTAAAATATTTAAGGGTAAAGGAAGGAAATGTAGTCAACTTTGGTTGGGAGATTTCTCCTTTGTTAGTTATTATACTGACAGATCTAAAATTACCCCACAGTGACAGACCAAACAGGGATTTCCATTTACCTTTATTTACTTTTTCGTTGGATGAATTAAGCACAAACTTGATGTGCTGATCTATGCACCAAGAAGTACTGGTAAATTGGACATAAAGATAGGATTATTTGGAAATGAGAGAAGAAAAATTCTGAAATTGTCTTGAAATGAGTCAGTTGTAAAAGTGAAAAATATTTAAGTATTCTGCTAGAATAGGTAAGTGGTGACTTAGTATTTTTTTTTAAATATTTATGTATGTTTATGTTAAAATTCTAACATTCTAACATTCTAACCCCTTCTCATTGAAGGGGTCAAAAAAGTTATTAGCAGACAATGCAAAGATCATGCCTCTGCTCAAATGACGCTGAAGAGTTATTGCAGGAGTTATGAAAATGGACCAAAATTTTTGTTTGACATAAACACACTCCTTTTTTTACAATCTAGTTCAGTTGGAGCATTTCTGAATGGTTGGGTTTGCATATTAAGTGTGTCACTTAATTAAACATCCCAATTATGTGTGGGTGATTGGAAAGGTTCTTAGCATAGTGTCAGTCCAATTCTTTCTTCACTAAATGTGAATTGGAAAAAGCAATCACAACCTATAGATGAGATTTACAGTAAAAAACCCAAACATTATTTTCTTGTTAACAGGGTCTGCCAAATGTTCACAAATCCTTTTATTTTTTTGTGTAAAATTGGAAGACAAAGGCAGTCTTGACTTTTTTGCCTCGGTACTTACAAAAAGTGTCACTATTAGAATTAACTACTGGTGTCATAAATGCAAAATTGGTTTTTATGTTACAGTATTGTCTCCCATTTTAACAGACTATTAATAGGAAAATTTTGATTGTATGTTCTTGATAAATTTCTTCTGTTTACTTCTTTCCTATCTAAAATATCTATGTTTATAGTTTATTTTAGCATAAGAAACTACTGCATGGAACTGCCATGGTCTAAAAATCAAGCCTTGGTTATATAAATAATGTCTATCATAACAACAGCTTTTCAAAAGCTTCCTGGTTTTACAGTATTAAAATAACTGACAATGAATTGAGTGGTATTTGTAAGCTTTTCATCAAGTACTGAACGGAGTATTTAAGGAGATCTGGGATGGACAGTGCATATTGCTATTTAATGTAATCTTTTAGCAGCAGGGAAATAGTGTGACAGGAACAACAGAAAAAACAGCACAGTGGAATAATAGACATTTTTAAAAAAATCATGATTCATCACTACTTAGTTTCTACTATTACTTTAAGATGCTAGTTTTAATATTCATTTAATTACTTTGGTAAATCAAAAGTATTTCTGTTTTAAGAAGCAGTTTGTCCAACTTTATCCTTCTCTTGGTTACATACTAATATTTCAGAAGAAATTACAGCCTTTTCTTTGTACTATTGGTGAAAACTAGGCAGTTCATAAAGGCATGTCGTTGTAGAGATTATAGAGAGGTGATATATAATATGCTACACCATATGCTTAAAGGCCAAAAATGCAACTTCTAATCTCACTCTGGCTAATCAAGCTGCTCAGATTATTTTACATACATCTTTGGTTTAGGCCTTGACATGCCCTTGTTTTTCTTTCTTCTCAAAGCTAAAGTTCCCCTCTTTGATTAGCTGAAACATTTGCATGGTCACTACACATTTTTCATTTTATAAATCATTATGCATTAGCAGTCTTGATCGCCTAGCTTGACTAATCCTGACGAACTGAAATCACAGCTGAAGGTCAAACTCCATCCTACTGCACATTCATATTCAAACAAATCTGCAC